CGTATTGCAATTTGTAGATTTAATGAGATTTGTTCTTTTCATTCGGATACAACTAATGCTGCTGGTGTTTGTTTGTACCACTTGTACAATTCATTATATTCCACTCGTTAGAATGTGCAAGCGAGGAGATTCACAGTAGTCACCGCTTATTGCTTTTAAACTTTCACAAACATTATTCATCAATTATAGCTTCAATCAATAAATAGTGCATGTCATCTAGGGCATAGCACAAGGGTGACCTTCTTATACGTACACAACTGGGCTCCTTCCCAAAAATTTCAAGTGACCGCTTGTTCGCTTGCTCTATCACATACTTGCCAACTATCATAAACTTTCCAAATTACCTTGTATCAATCGTTGCTTGCTTTTTGTTTAAATCTTTGTAAAAAGTTCAAACAGCTGCCATATTTATAGATAATCAATATTACACGCAATGGCCACATGTTTTGGGACACTGCGAAATCATTAATTGTCTGTAACGGACATCCTGGCACAAATGTTTGTTTTTTGCACAGTTTGATACTCCAGTTCTGCTGTCCACGAAATCTTGACATTCTAAAATATGGACTCTGATAATTTTGATTCGGCTTTATGAAGAGCAGCTGACTAACCTGTGGTTCCTGGAGGACATTTTTTGCAAGTCAACGGGCATTGTTCTGCCATAAGCTGACGATATTTAGGATCCTCACAAAGATGTTTTCTCTGGGGGCAACCTGACACCCCGGTTCTTGGATCGACGTAGTCCTGACACGCTGAAATCATTTGATGTAAGATAGTCGCGAAAAGACAAATTTTTAGCGGCCAGAAAACAATCAGCTTACATTTTGCGGAAGTAGGAACTACCTTAAATTTTAACTGTTTCACTGGTCAAGTTTTCAAATATGGAACATATTAAGTTTTATGTCACCTACACTTAGAAGCGCTAAAAATTTGTAATTCTGAGATATTAGAATATTAAGTTATTTTTATTTCGAACCTTGTTTCAGACGTAATCAAAAGACTGAACCATTACACTGCTAATAGTTCGCAGTAATTGTGCAAGAAGTTATCAAATGCTAATCAAGTCGTTTTTTAGTTCAATTTACCATAGCATTCTAATGGTTCACTTTTTATGTTATGTCTGAAACATAGAAATTGAGAAGAATAAAGAATAGTTTAACATTTTGCCAGTAATTAACATGAATTAATAAGAAAAAATTTGAAAATACGTACACCGCTACTTGTAGTGTTGCCAAATACTAATTGCTATAAATATCACACTCAGTTTCTTTCGAATACGCTAGGTCTCAGCAAAAGAGATGACAGTTGCACCGCTTAATTTGTTTCATCA